ACAGGTAGAATTAAGGTAATAAAAACATAAGCAAAAATTAAGATTGAAAGCAGAAAAGTCAATAGTGAAAATAATAATTGCCAAAATCTTGTTCTTTGAAAGAGTAATAAGGTAGACAGGGCTGGCGAGATGGCTCAGCGAGTAAAGGAACCTGCTGACGAGTTTGATGACCTCAGTTCAAAGGTCCCCAGGGCCCACGTGGAAGAAGATAACTGACTCCTTCAAACTATCCTGACACACACACACAGACACACAGACACACACAGACACACACACACACAGACACACACACAGACACACAGACACACACACAGACACACAGACACACAGACACACACACAGACACACACAGACACACACACAGACACACACACAGACACACACACACAGACACACACACACAGACACACAGACACACACACACAAGACACACAGACACACACACACAGACACACAGACACACACAGACACACAGACACACACAGATACACAGACACACAGACACACACACAGACACAGACACACACAGACACACACAGACACACACACACAAGACACACAGACACACACAGACACACACACAGACACACACACACAGACACACACAGATACAGACACACAGACACAGACACACAGACACACACAGACACACACACACACACACATCACTACATAAGTAAAAAAGTGGGAGGCCAAGATTAACAGCACTGTGAAAGGGCCATCACTAATGATCTCATGGATATTCGAAGCATAATAAAGGAATAGTAGAAATGACTCTGCCTGTATGTTTGATAACCTTAATGAAGTGGACCAATTTCTTGAAAAACAGAAGCTGCCAAAAGTTACATGTGAAGAAATAATCTGAGCAGACCTCTATCTATTAAAGAAATCAAACCAAATAACTAACAGCCTTCCACAGAAGAGAAAGGCCCATATAAATTCTCTGATGATTTTTTTAAAATAAAACATTTATTGAAGGACCATCCCTTCTCTATGGCATCTTAACTCACCCTGCAAGGCTGTTACCCTGCACCCCAAATAGAGAAAGACTTTTCCAGAAAACTGAAATATTCCTCGAGAACATACATAGGAAAAATCTTGTTTTTAAACATAATTTTGGCCACCAGGCATAGTGGTGCATACCTTTAATCCCAGCACTCAGGAGGCAGAGGCAGGTGATCTCTATGAGTTCCAGCCCAGACTGGTCTACAAAGTGAGTTTCAGGACAGCTAGGGCTACACAGTAAAACCCTGTCTCAGAGAAATACAACAAAACTAAAACAAACAAACAAACAAAATTATTTTGGCCAGGTGTGATTCTGGATTTATTCAGAGTTAAGAAAAATCATCTTTGACCAAGGGAGACCACCTGAGAAATCGCCGGTAGGAACAGGTGGCCTGGATGTCTAAGTTCTACAAATCCAGAACAGATTCAAGACCGCTGCCTGAGATGATCAAGACTACAGACTACTTCAGTCAGGACTTGATGACACGTGATTTTTAATGCCAGCATTTGGGAAGCAGAGGCAGGCACATCACTGAGAGTTCAGGCCAGCAGAGCTACATAGTGAAATCCCATCTTTAAAAAATTCGCTTCAGGGGCTGGAGAGATGGCTCAGAGATTAAGAGCACTGATTGCTCTTCCAGAGGTCCTGAGTTCAGTTCTCAGCAACCACATAATGGTTCACACCCATCTGCAATGAGATTTGGTGCTCCAAAGCACTGTATACATAATAAATAAATCTTTTAAAAAATTGTCTTCAAGACTTTGTGTGTGTGTGTGTGTGTGTGTGTGTGTGTGTGATGTATGTGTTTGTGTGTTTGGATACCAGAAGATGACATCTGATCCCCTGGATCTGGAGATGCAGGAGGTTGTAAACTGTTCAATGTGAGTAGTGCTGGGAACTGAACTCAGATCCTCTGGGAGAGCAGGAAGTGCTAACTACCGAGCCATCTCCAACACAGATGCAAAAATCTTTGATGAAATATAAGCAAGGTGAAGTCAACAATATATAAAAAGAATTGTACAATACCACACACAATAAATGTAATAAAATATTTAAATTAAGCATAGTGTGGTGGCGCCTTTAATCTCAGTACTCTCGAGGCAGAGGCAGGAGGATCTCTGTGAGTTCGGGGCCAGCCTGGTCTACATAGCAAGTTCCAGGGCAGCCAGGGCTACACAGAGAAATCCTGTCTCAAAATCAAACAAAAATCAACCAACAATGAATTGCCAACAGTGTGAAGAAAATTAGAAGCCAATTACAGACTCGAGACACACATATAAAAGGACCGTTAACACCAAATAAATACACAACCTTTAAAACTCCACAATGAGAAAATGAATCACTCAGTGAAAATGGGCGAACGATGTGAGCAGACACCTTAACAAATCAAAGATGTACACATACAAGGATATAAGATCTTTAGAGAACTGAACAGTAGAGTGAAAGGCCACCAGGATTTGGAGCACCAATGCCACCAAATGATGACGGTGGGGAGCACCGTGCTGGGGAGCACCGTGCTGGGGAGCACCGTCGTGCTGGGGCTGCAAAGCGGCGAGTTACCCTGGAAGTCACTTCGACTTTCTTACAAATACTGAACACATCCTGATGTTTGGGTTACTAGTTCAGCCTTTGGTAGCCGTACTGCCTCCCCAGCCCTTGAGCGCACCTTTACAACATTATTAAGCAGCAATCATGGTCCTTGGCATTTATCCAGATGATTTTAAAACACAAAATCCACACAGCGATCCTTACGGCAACTTCCTAACTGCCTAAACATGGAATCCACCGAGATGTGTTTCTGGAGGAACAAACGGGTCCGTCTGGATGATGAATGTTAGGGAGCGCTAAAAGGAAATGAGCTGTCCAGCCGTGAAAAGACGCAGGGGCGTTAACTGCTTGCTTACGAAGGGAAAGACGCCTGCTTGGAAAGACTGTGTGAGGTTCCGGTTCATTCTGGCAAAAGCAAAAGGGACCGGTGACAAATTGGTGGGTGGCTGGAGTGGAGGGGAGGATGAGTGGGCGGAATGGGCAAACTATTTTTATGACACTGCAATAAGACACGTGCCGTATGTTTGTCACAGAAAGTGCTCCAAGAGGGAATGGAGCCTGATGGCTCTATGGGCTTTGGGTGATGGTGAGCCAGGGTGGTTCTGTGTAGCCATGTCTCTCTGTTTCAGGATGTCCCTGTGCTCCAGGCTGAGGAACTGGGGCAGAGGAGGAACACACAGGAACTGTTGTGCTTGCCCCATAGCCCAGGCTGACCTTGAGTTTGCTATTTAGACAGAGTCTCATGTTATATCCCTGACCAGGCTGGCCTTGAATTCACATAGATCCTCCTGCCTCCGCCTCCTAAGTGCTGGGATGAGAGGTGGATTGCCACCACCTCTGGTTAAAAAATAGAATTCACACTTAAAAGTCCCACCAAAACGATAAACTCCAAAGGCAAATCCTAAGGGCCGAGTGACACTCTAGCCAGAAATCTTCCATTTTTCTTTGTCCCCACCCTAAATTCCGGCCCCTTTCCCTTCTGGCCTGCTTTCCTGCTGCCTAATCCCACTACCCCATCCCTAACTCCCTCTCAGACTCCTCCTAGGCCCCTGATGGGCTTCTCCTTGTCAGGGAGCCTGACCAGGGTTGGGCATGGTGGCATGCTTCTCTTATAACCCTAGCACTCTGAAGGCTAAGACAGGCAGTTTTGTGAGTTCAAAGCCAGCCTGAGTTACACAGCAGTACCCCGTTTCAAAAGAAAAATGGAGCTGCGTGGTGGCGCCTGCCTTTCATCCTAGCACCCAGGAGCCCGTCAGGGCTACAGAATGAGACCCTGTCTTGACAACAATGACAAGAACAGCAACAGCAGCTGTTGTGGCCGTGCAAGCCTCTGCCGGTGATCCCAGCACTCAGGAGGTAGAGGCAAGAGGCTCCTTATGGATCTGAGGCTGTCCAGCTAGGGCAACGTAAACTCCGACGTACAAGACACAGAAACGAGGTGTGACGTGCCTGGCTGCAATCCCGGCACGCAAGAGACCAAGGTAGAGAGATTGCTACAGGTCTGAAGCTAGCTTGGGCTGCACAGAGTGAGATGCCCGCCCACCCTACCTTTCATCTTATACACACAGCTGTCCGTGGGCCAAGCTGGCCCTTTCTCTTTCTCTAGGCCAAATTCCCTTCCCCACTTCACAGCCTTGTGACCTTTGCCAAAAGGGGAACCTCTCTCATATTGCCTTTCTTCTGGGCCTTTGTCCAGGGACATGGTGTCTTATGCAAGTGCCAGGCTGGTGGTGTGTGTGAACTCCTCTGGGCTGCCATGTTGGGTATGTCATCACACACTGGAGTTACCTCTGGTTTGAGGCTGTGGCCTTCTAAAAGACCAGTCTATCAACCTCAGCTTTTCCCTCCTTCAAGCCAAACAATGTCCTCCCCAGGTCTCCTCACTGGCTACAGGAAGACTTCTCCTTGGATTTAGTCTCTCATCTGGTCAGCCCCACCTCTAAGGAGGCCCCTCCCCCCCACCTTCCCACCCCCACGTCTCTGGATTTAGGCCTAAGAAAATGAAGCCAGGGATGGAGTTTTGAGGTGGCCTAGTGGTCTGGTAGGTGGAAGAAAAGTGGAAACACTTCAGGGAGGAAGCAAAGTCCAGATGGCTGGCCAGAACTCTCAGGGGATGGGCGGGCTCAAGGGAAACTCAAAAGTTGAGGTGCCATCCCTAAAAAAATCGCTTTCAGAATATAGCAGCCGGCTGTACTCAGTGGTTAGGAGGAGCTGGTCCTCCCAGACCTGAGCCAGAGCCCAGGCAGAACGGAATGTTCTTGTAATGTCACCACTCAAGAGGCTGCGGTAGGCAGACCAAGGGTTTGAGGCCAGTCTGGGCTACAGAATGAGACACTGTCTCCAGAGTCCAAGGGATGAGGATATAGCCCAGGAGCAAGATGCTGGCCTAAATATGCTCAGGGCCCTGGGTTTGATCCCAGCACCGTAAAAAAAGAGTCTTCAGCAGGGCCAGCACTGGAGGCTTTAATGCTTTTGTCTAATTTCTCTGGGGTGAAGGGGCCGACAACTTAAAATGGATTTTCAGCAATAATGGACTCCCTTTCTTGGTTCCTGGCACCGAGCTGCAACACAAAAGAGACAGTGTCACTAGGGCCTTAGGGTCCGGGGGTCCCCTGCTGCGCCTGTGGGGCAGCCGGAGCTGTGCTCCGTGTCTACCTGTCTGAGGCCAAGGGCTCTGAAGCCCAGCTCCTTTACGCTCACTCACGGAAGTGTCCTGCGCCCTAGAGATGTGACCACTGTGCTCTCAGGAGACAGACGACACAAAACACACCTGTTTCCTAAGGCAACGTGGCCCTGCCCATTTTAAACCCAGGTTTCTGTCCTAGCCCTGGAGAGCTCACCCTCCATGGTCCCCAGGCCTCCTCCGGCCCTGGCTTTGCTACCGCACCTCAGGTCAGCGGAACCCTGTTCCTAGCAGCCTTTGTGAGGTCATTGAGTTTGCCCCTGTCCCCTGCCTCGGCCCCTCCCCTCCATTCCACTGTTGCACACCCCACCTGGCTATGGTGAGAACCGAGCCCATCCCCACCCACATGCTGGCCCCGTGGAAGGGCTGCAGGGCAGAGACACTCACTCTTCTTTGGCTTCCTGAAGCTGGGGGGATGTGCTTGGTGCCTGGACAAACTTCACTTCGCCTTCGATGGTGGCCTTCTTGAGCCCTGTCTTACAAAAATCTAGGTAAGAGCAAGCTACGTTCCTAGTTTCTTGAGTCCAAGATTCGCGAGTCATAATGTCTTTGGGTGTTTTCTCTTGGTTCTCCGTGGATATCTGGGTAATCTGGGTAGCCTGGGTATACTTGATGGACTGGACCGGCTGGCAAAGCTCTGTAGACGTCTCCTGGGACTTCTCAGACGTCCCTTTGATCATATTTTTTAAATTAGGCAAGTCCTTGCTGCTGGAGGAGGCTACAGCAAGGGAGGATGCGAAGTTGATCAGATCTGCCAGGCCAATGGCTGTGGGCAGGCTAGTGCAAGATGCCCGGGGGGTTGATGACAGTGGGGCACAGTCTGTGAGAACCTGGGAAATGCAGACAGACTTCTTTTCCAGTGGGTTCTTGCGATGTTTCTCTAAGGCCTGCTGGAGGCTGTGCTCTGATGCCTGGATGAGCTTGTTTGCCCAGAAAAGGTGTTTGGAGGTCTGCACGCGGATCGAGCGGACCTGGGTGGAGCATATCTGCTCATCCTCTCTGTTACTCGAGTTTGTGAAGAAGCTCCAGGGCCTGGATGACAGTTCTTCCTCACAGGGCTTGAGGGATTTGATCCTGGAGCCCTCGGGCTCCGGGCTTTCAATGAAACAGTTCCCTTCGGCCTCAGGTGTGGGCTTAGAGGGTACCACTGGCGCCATCTCCTCCAGCTGTGGCACTGGGCCCGGGCCTGGGTACAGTTTGAGTAGTGTCTCCTTCTTGGGCAGTTCTGCTTTCTGCTGAAAGGTTTCAAATGGAGGTTGAGGCAACAGGAGCTGGACACTCCTCCCCCACAGGGATCCCCCCCCCCCCCGACACACCAAGCCCCTGTCCTGATCACGTGTGGCACACTACCAACCCCTTACCTCCACTTGCTTCTCGGAGACCTGCCTGGGCCAGAGAAGCAAGCGCAGAGAAGATGTGGTGAAGGCATGTGTGGGGCCTGGTACTACAGTCCCAGAATGGACAAGCATCAAGATCCTGCCGTCTTGACTGCCACCTCTGCATAAAGTGTGGTACTCTTACCTCTGCTTCGTCGTCCTCTTCCTTATGGGTGTGGGGCTGGTGGTGAGAGTCATTCCTGAAGCATAAGGGATCCAAATGGGTGACAGAGATCCAGGGGATCTTCAGTGTTTGGGAGCTCTAGGGTTCTTAAAGCTCTGACTTTGTACAAGGGTGGGCAAGAAGACCCCTGTGTTACTCCCCACTGTCCCTGCTCTATTAGGATCTCTGGAATGTCATATTCTTTGTGCATGTGTGTGTGTGTGTGATGTATGCACGCACACATACAAATGTGGAGGCTAGAAGTTGATCTCACGTATCTACCTTAGCTATTCTCTGCCTCATTTTTCGGAGACAGGATCTCTCTTTGAATGCGGAGCTCACTGATTCGCTAGAGGGGCTGGCCAGTGAACCCCTGGGATCTTCCTGCTTCCATCTCCCAGCTCTGGGGTTACAGTGTTCACATGTTCAGCTTTTCCCCTGGCTGTGGGATATCTGAACTCGGGCCCCCATACTTGTGCCCTGGACACTTTGCCCCCTAACATGGTGGCACTCTCAAGACTCTTCAAACTTCAGAAGCTCTGGAGAGCTTGCCAATATCACTCTTCTACTCCATCTGGTTGGAAGAGGGGCCTGGGAATCTTCATTCTTTTTTTTGGTGGAGGTGGTCTGGAGACAGGGTTTCTCTGTCTCTGGAACTCACTGTGTAGACTAGGTTGGCCTCGAACTCACAGAGATCTACCTGCGGGATTAAATCTGAGTGCTGGGATTGAAGGTGTGCGTCACCACCGCCCTGCTGGGAATCTTCATTTTAGTTAAGTGCTCTGGGTGAGCCAGGATGCTCTGAAAATGGCTCCCTACACAGAGAGAGGCCCATTACTCACCTGTCCCACTCCCGGTGGGTAGGTTTGAGAAACCATGGAGACTGGGGGAAGTGCAGGGCCCTTCACTTCTTCTCAGCCCCTACTCCTTCCTAGTTGCTCCCCGCTTAAACTCCTGTTCCCTCCTCAGGCAAGGTAGCCATGCCTCTAAGTGCTCCACCTTAGCCCTCTGCCAGGTTTGAAGACTGAAGGCAGAGATGGGATCACAGGCAACCCCAGTCTTTGGCCTGGACTCTGCTCCTGAGGAGATTTGGAAAGGAGCTACAAAGGGAAGATCCTAGTTGGGTGGGAGTGTGTGGTGTTGGGGAAAGGCCCGGGAGCCTGGGGTTTTAGGAGAAGGCCCCGTGCTGGTAGGGACTGGTCCTCACGTTCTCTCCACGATGTCCACAGCATCCTTGCCACAGCAGGGAAATGCACTGACACCTGGCCCAGAAGAAAAGCAAAGGACAGGGGCTGGAGAGATGGCTCAGAGGTTAAGAGTACCGGCTGCTCTTCCAGAGATCAATTCCCAACAACCACATGGTGGCTTACAAACATCTGTAATGAGATCTGGTGCCCTGTTCTGACCTGAAGGCAGACATACAGGCTGAACACTGTATACATAATAAATAAATAATTCTTAAAAAAAAAAAAAGCAAAGGACAGGGAGTATCAGGGTGGGGGACAATCCCCGAGCTGGTGACAATCTCTCCTGCCTCCCCTCCAGCCCACCCGACACTATCTCTCTCATCTTACACGTTTCCTCATCTCCCCATCTTCTGTGTCTGCTACCCTCCACTTGCCATCTTGGCCTTGTCCCAGCTCTTGGATCTATCCCCTGCCTCAGCGAGCATGGGTGCCGATAGCACTCCATCTCATTGCCGCCACAAAAAGCATCAGCGGGCGCTCCTTGTCCAGGCGTCCGGTAGCTGGTGGTTGTTAAATCAAGGACTTGAGTTCAGGCTTAAGAATCAGCTCTGTTTTCTGCTCTGCCGTCCTCCACAGGAACCCATCACAGCCGTGGGGAACTCTCCCACTCCACCACTCCGTTCTTTTCCTCTGCTGCTTCCCAAGCTCTCTCCGGTCACCCGTCACTGATCCAGGCCAAGGCCTCCACTCAGAGAACTTGATCCGAGATCATGCTAGCTCCGCACTGCTGTGTGGTGAGCTTGACTCGCTCCTTGGAAGTCCTAGGAAGCTGAGTCTCTGGGGGCATCTTGGAGCCAGGAGATAGCCAGAAGCTATCTAATACAGAAGCCACCCTTTCGTTTCCTAGAAGTGGGGCACCAGGCTGTCTCAGTCTCTGCTTCCCTGAGTGATAAGCCTTGGTGGGGGGAATCATGGCTTCCATGCATTATGCAAAGTGAGTTTCCATGAGCCTAGGGTGGAGCAGGAAACATTTACTTTTCGGATAAGGGTTGCTCCCAGGATTGTATCAGAATCATGAGAATGAGCTGTGGCTTCTTCCTAGGGATGGAAGTGGTGGTCCTTGTACGACTGGTCCTAGGCATTAGGATTCAGATGGGGATCGTAGGTCAGCTGTGTGGGGAGGCTCTCAGAGAAGCACCATAAACAGGAACTCGAAGGCCAGCTCTGCCTCCTTGACCCAACATGTCTGTCTGGCTTCCTTTATACACCTTCAGCTTCAGCTCCACCTGGCCCTGAGCAGGACTCTTTCCTGCCCAACCACAGAGTCTCCCTTGGTCACTTTACAGTTTTTTCCTGGATATCCGATCATCACACAACTTCAATCCTTCCATAAACTGCAGCTGGGTATGGACAGAAGAAATACAATTTCTTTCTTCTTTTTTTCCTTTTTTTCTTTTTCCTTTTGGTTTTTCAAGACAGAGTTTCTCTGTGGCTTTGGAACCTGTCCTGGAACTAGCTCTTGAAGATCAGGCTGGCCTCGAACTCACAGGGATCTGTCTGCCTCTGCCTCCCGAGTGCTGGGATTAAAGGCGTGTGCCACCGCTGCCTGGCGCTGGGATTAAAGGCATGTACCACCACTGCCTGGCGAATTCCAGTTTCGTAAGCCTCACAACAGCACGGGGTCTGGCAGACAAAGTCTGACGTTGACTCAGTTTGGAACTTCTGTGTCTGATTTAGGAGTGTTCTGTTAGAAAAGCCAAGTGACAATCTGTGATATATGAGGTGTTTCCCGTGCCCGTTTGTTGCTAATATTCTAGAAATACTTTCTCAGGTCCTAAGGGTGCACTGAAAAGCCATCCGTTCTGACAGCTTTCTTTAGAGAGCTCATGGAATCTGTACATCAAAACGAATGTGTGTGAATCAAGACCGCTCTGTCTCTTCCTTCCATGTCTGGCGTCTCCTTGTCCTTTCTTCCCCTTTGGCACTGGGAATGACCACTATATAATTGTGGAACGAGGCCGACAGCCTTGCTTCATTCCCGTGTACTCGTGGGGAACACTCAGTGCTCCATCTTTACGATGCTGGTGGTGGTTTTCATCATAGATGCCTTTTAGCGGATTGACGTTTTCTTTCCTACTTTGTTCAGCTGATTTTTAGAAATATTTATTATTATTATGATTGCTGTTATCATTTAAGACAGGGTCTCACCATTTAAGATCAGGCTGGCCTTGAACTCACAACAATTTGCTTTCCTCTGCCTCTTGAATGCTGGGATTAAAGGCGTTCATCACTACACCTGGCTTCCTATCATCATCATCTTCCTCCTCCTCCTCCATCATCATTTTGAGATAATGTCTCACTCTGTAGACCAGCCTGGCCTCAAACTCAGAGATCAGTCTACCTCTGCCTCCTGATATTGGGATTATAAGTATATAAGCCTGGTCAATTTTTTTTATAATTTTAACATTATTTTATGTGCATTGGTGTGAAGGTGTCAGATCCCCAGGAACTGGAGTTACAGACAATTGTGAGCTGTCATATGGGTACTGGGAATTGAACCCAGATCCTCTGGAAGAGTAGCCAGTGCTCTTAATTGCTGAGCTATCTCTCCAGCACTCACTCCCATTTTTTTAAAGACTTTTATGTATGTATGTATGTATGTATGTTTTTTGAGACAGAGTTTCTCTGTAGCTTTGGAGCCTGCCCTGGAACTAGCTCTTGTAGATCAGGCTGGTCTCGAACTCACAGAGATTCGCTTTCCTCTGCCTCCCGAGTGCTGGGATTAAAGGTGTGTGCCCCCACCGCCCGGCCTTAAAATATCTTAATAATTATGTGTGTGTATGCCACTTGAGAGCAGATTCACTTTGAGGTCAGAGGTGTGTGATCCCTGGGAGATGCATTTATATATAGGAGGTTGTCAGTCAACAGATGTGGGTGTTGGGAGTTGAACCAGGATTCTCTACAAGGGCAGTGTGTGCTCTTAACCACTGAGTAATCTCCAACTCCAGGCAGCAGATCCGCTTGGAAGTGGAGTTAAATAAATTTGTGAGTGGCCCAAAGTGAGTGTTGGGAATTGAACTTGGATCTTTTGCAAGACACCAGTATGTGCTCTTAACTGAAGAGCCATCTCTCCAACCTCCAGTTGTTACTTCAGACAGGGTCTCTCTAAGTAGCCTTGACTGACCTGGAACTTTCTATGTAGACCAGGCTGGCCTTGAACTCAGATCCATATTCCTCTGCCCTCCAAGTACTGGGATTAAAGACATGTGCTGCCATGCTTGATTTATCAAGATGTTTTGTCAAGAACATGATATTTTTTGTAGATCTTTTTTCTTTCTGAGACAGGGTTTCTCTGTGTAGCCCTACTATTTTGGAACTAGCTCTGTAGACCAGGCAGGCCTTGAAGTCAGAGATCGCCTACTTCTGCCCGCTGCATGCTGGGATTAAAGGTGTGCACCACCGATATCTGGCTAAGTATTTATTTTTAAAACTATTTTTAAGTTTTGTGTATGCATGTATGACTGTGCACAGGTATGTGCGTGTAACTGCAGATGCCAGTGGTAGCCAGAAGAGGGCGCACTGGGTTCCTTTGAAGCTGGAGTTGTACATGGTTGTGAGCTTCCTGACTAGATGCTGGGATGTGAACTTGGGTCTTCCACAAGAGCAGAACTGCCTCTCTAGCCCCTCCCCCTCCTTCTCTTTCTGACTCTGACAGCATCTAATGTAATCCAGGTTGGGTTCAAACTCCCTATGTGACTAAAGCTGTCCTTGAACTCTTGATCCTCTTGTCTCTCTGTCCCTGAGTGCTGGGACTGTAGGCCACACTTAGACATTATACTAGTTTTCCTTCATGTATTTTGAAGTGCTGAAAGGGAACACAATCCTTTAGGATAGTTCTTTGTTCTTTTGTTTTGCAGCCCTGGGAATGGAACTCAGAGCCTTGCATATACTAGGCAAAAATTTTACTTTCTAGCCCTAGATATTCCTTTTAAAATGGTAATAGTATTGCTATTATTTTGGTTTCCTATATATACACATGTAATTTGGTTACTGTTTGTTTATTGAGACAGAGGTTAATGCTTCCCTGGCTGGCTTTGAGCGAGCTGTGTACTTCAGGATGACCTGAAACTTCTGATCTCTGCTTCTAACAAGTTGCTGGGATGGCAGGCAGGGGCTACCACACCTGACTTAGGTTTGGAACTCAGATCCTAGGTTTTGTGAATGCCAGGCAAGCATTCAACTGCTGGGCTACACCCCCTACATAATACATCCCCTATTAGTATAGTTTCTTGAGACATGGTCTTTCTATGTAGCTCAGGCTAGCCTGGAAGTTACGATGTCACCTAGGCTGTCCTCAAACTTGCAGTCCTCCGGTCTCTGTCTTGTGACTGCAGGGATTGTGGATATACACAACCATGCCTGGCTTTGCTTTCCCTAGCCTTTAAAAAAGTATGTCCTGCTGGGAGGTGGTGGTGCACAGGTCTTTAATCCCAGCACTTGAGAGGCACAGCCAGCCTGGTCTACAGAGGGAGGTCCAGTACAGGCTCCAAAAAAAGCTACACAGAGAAAGTCTGTCTCAAAAAACCAAAATGAATGAATGAATGAATAAATAGCATTTCCTTTTGTAATTAGAAAATTAACATTTGTTAATTACTATGCTGTGCATGTGTATGTGCGTGTGTGCATGTGTGTGTGTGTGTGTGTGTGTGTGTGCATGCACATGTGCTTGAACACATATGGAGGTCATAGGACAATTCACAAGAGTCAGTTTTCTTCTAGTTTGTGGTCCCAGGGATTGGACTCGGGCTGTCAGGCTTGGTGTCAAGCACCTTTACTGACTTTCCTAACTCTTGATAAGGAACCTCTCTATCACTGTGAATGATCTCCTTTATCTCTGCTGTTATTTGATTTGAAACCTGTTTTGATACCGACACAGCTTTTCAGCTTTCTTTTTTAACTGGGGATTAGCGTTAGCGTGAGCTATCACTTCACGGTGAAGCTTTGTATTTTTCTGTTTAAAATGAACTTTAAGAAGGCAGTGTATAGTTGAATCTTGTTTTTTCTTCTCTTTTTCCTGATACTGTGAATTGAGTCCAGAGTATGCCTCCCAGAAATTGGGAGGCAGAGGCAGGCGGGTCTTAGTGAGTGCGAGGCCAGCCTGGTCTACAAGAGCTAGTTCCAGGATAGCCAGGTTTCACAGAGAAATGCTGTCTCAAAAAACCAAAAATAAATAAATAAGTAAATAAAAAAATAAAGACAGAAGCTATGTGACATCTGCCTTTTGTGTCTGAATGGATTGTTCTGTTATTTGCTTTCCATGTGTCATTCTGCTTTTTTAAAATATCCCCTTAGATTATGTATTTGTATGATTCTATTGTAGTTTCAAATCTATGACTCTGTCTTGTTCTAAGCATCTTTAACTTATCACAAGTCTGCCTTCAAGTGGTAATAGGATAATATGCCAATATGTCAATTAGAGAGAATCCTAAACAGTATGATGCTGTTTCCTCCTCATGACTGGGTATTCGAAATGGAACTTAAGAAATAAGAAGATGAGAGAGGGCTGGGATACTGCTCAGAGGTACAACATCTGATGGGCACTTGGGAGACTCCATGTTTGATCCAGAGCGAGCGAGCGAGCGAGCGAGAGAGAATATGAATATGAACTTGTAATGGCTAACTAAGCCCATGAACAGCATACCAGAGAGTTCTTTTTACTTCTAGAGTGTAGCAGGCAGAAGACTAGAAATGCGATCTGATGGAATGCATGCAGAAACTGAGGAGGAAAATCAAAGATCACAAGAAAGGACAGTTCAGGGGGCTGGACAGATGGCTCAAAGGTTAAGAGCACTGGCTCTGAACCGAACTGGAATTGAACTGTCCTGGGAACTGTCCTGGGAATTGAACTGGTTGCTGGGAATTGAACTCAGGACAGTTCAATTCCCAGCAACCACACGGTGGCTCAGAGTCATCTCATAATGAGATCTGATGCCCTCTTCTGTCATGCAGGCATACGTGGAGACAGAAAGTTGCATACATAACAAATCTCTCTCTCTTTTTTAAAGGGCATTTCAGAACTTCGAGGAATGAAGGAAGGCAGCCCAGGGTTGAAGGCTAAGGCATCAGAAGATGCTGAAATTCCCACAGGTGTGACTGGTTGCCACCGTTAAGAGACAATGGCCAGGCTGTAAAACCTACAGTTGAAGGGGTCCCAGTGAGCTTCTTAAATGGTTTCATTCTTGAATAGGGGCAACCTAGGGCTACCAAATATTTAACAAATCTGTCAATAAGCAGATGAAAAGGCAATCTCAGGACACCAAAGATAATTTGAGAAACATAAGAGTACTTAGAAGAAAAGCTGATCATTTTCAGAGATTCAAGGACAACACTAAACATGTATCATATTAAAAAATTAACAGGATGCTATGAAAAAGAATTGAAGGAGAAAGCTTCCTGGGAAATAGCACTGGAAAACAATAGAGTTTCCAGAAAGTGGACCCCAAATACCAAGCTATAGTGAGAGAAGAGAATCAATACGGAGTCTGCTTTTTTTTTCAAACGTGAGAATGTGTGTGCATGCGTGTGCAGGCATGTGTGTGTGTGTCCTTCCTCTGGATCCATCTATATTGCTATTTGGGATAGGCTCTCTCATGGGTTACTAAGGCCAGCCAGGGGACTCAAGGAACCTCCTGTCTGCCTTCTCAGCATTAGGTTATAGGCACTACCACCATGTCTGTTTTACATGGGTTCTGGGGACTGAACTCAGATCCTCATGCTTGCAAGATTCTGACAGCTATCTTCTCCACCCAGATCTGTTTATGAAATCTAGAAGAGAGGCTCAGAGAGAACAAAGAAGTTGGAGAAGAAAAAAGCTAAAAATTCCCCTTAAATGAAGGGTCTCACTGGCTTGGAAATGCTTTATGAATACTGGGCAGATCCAGCCTCGGAGTGATCCTTGTTGTGGCCGATGCTTCCATCAGGTACAACTGATTCACAAATTCATTTTTCATTCGTGTGTGAGTATATGTATGCATGTGCACACTTGTGTGTGTGTGTGTATGGGTGTTGTGCATGTGGAAGCTGGAGGTTGGTGTGTGCATGTTTATGTGTGTGTGGGCATGTGTATGCATGTTTGCACATGTGTGGGTGCTGTGCTTGTAAAAGCTAGAGCTTGGTGTGAACATGTTTGTGTGTTGTGTTGTATGGCATGTTTGCGCATGTGTGGGTGCTGTCCTTGTGGAAGCTGGAGCTTGGTGTGTGCATGTTTATGTGTGTGTGGGTGTTGTGTATGCATGTTTGCATGTGTGTGGGTGCTGGGCACGTGGAAGCTGGCGGCTGACTTTAGGAGTCAGCCTCGGTGCTCTCCCACCTCATTCATAAGGCAGGGTCTCTCTATGAAACTCAGAGCTCACAGATGTGATTAGTTGGCCAGCTTTGCTCTGGACAGCTCCTGTCTCCACCTTTGGAGGCTGGAATTACAGGCTGGACCTCTCACTCACTTGGCATTTATGTGGGTTCCAGGTATCTGAACCCTGGTCCTCAAATGTGCACAGTGGGTGTTTTAACCACCATGCTAGCTCTGTGTCCCACAGATCCACCACCATGCTAGCTCCCTATCCTATAAATACTTTATTCATTATTATTATTATTGTTGTTGTTGTTTTGAGACAGGGTTTCTCTGTGTAGCCTTGGCTATCCTGGAAACTCACTCTGTAGACCAGGCCCAGGCTGCCTTGAACTCACAGAGAACTTCTTTCCTGTCTCTATCTCCCTGAGTGTTGGGATTAAAGGTATGCACCACCACCTCCTGGCTCACAAACTTGTAAAAGGGAAACCCCAGCAATTTATAAGAGGGAGAAACTCATACAGGCAGCAGAGTCACAAATGATGGTTGACTTTAAAATTCTGATTCATTTTTTACATAGAATTTTTTTTGTTGTTGTTGTTGTTGAGAAAAGTTAAAATGGCCAGCTGCCTGGCCTGCAGCTGCTCTGAGACATGCCTGGGGACCACTGCCTTTTTTTTTTTTTTATTTAAATCAGCGAATAAATTCTCCAGTGCTCTTGAATCAGGGGTATTTATTTCTTTGATAAAGCTGATAAGGAAGGGCTGAATCTCAGCTGTTGGCCACTGTATTAGGGGCTGAGGATAGAGGTGGACAAGGCATTGTCCCTATGCCACGGTGCTTTCAAGCTTGTGATCATGTTTTTTCTGGAAGAGACCTTAAGTCTCACAGTCTTTAAAACAACATGCACCCGCACTCAGCAGGGCTCTAGGCTTTCCACTGCGATGACGTAAGACATCAACAATTCTTGAGAGGCTTTCTAGATCTCACGGCTCTTCCGGTAGCTCCAGGCCCACCGTTCGGAGCACGTGGTTCCTGCTGACTCTCCCCCACACCCTCTGCGGGTGGCTGCATTACTCGCTTTGGGTCTCTGGTCCTCCTCCCACAGTGTCTCACGCAAGGTGGATTCGGCGACCGCCTTTGCAAAGGCCTTAAATTCCCAACCCTTAGCTTTATACACTTGTACCCGCGAATGTTATTCCGTTGAACAAAATTCATTAAGGCCCCGGAACGATCCAGCCCCCATTTTTTTCTGTACAGCGCGGGGCTAAACTAGTAATCAAAGGCACCCAGAGGGGCTTGGCTGGGGTCAGCTTTCCTTTCCACTCCCCAGGCCAACTCTGCGGCATCACTCAGTTTCCCTTTCTCCGCCTCCACCCCCGCCATTTCTGGCGACGCCCACCACTCGGCCGCCTGTTCCCACCTGTCACCCCCATGCTGACGGAGGCTCTGTCCGGGAGGCGGGGAGCGGGCTGGTGGCTGCTGCCCCTCCGCCTCCAGTGCGCTGTTTTGTTAGCCAGGTGGAGAGGCGCTGGAGATGATGGGGGCTCTGGCGCCTGTGATGCTGCGGCTTTTGTGACGTTTGGCCAGGGATCTGACAGGCAGGAAACTTGAAGATTCATGCCAAGGATGTGGGTGGGAGCAGCTGAGGATCTTTAAAGGTTTGGAGGTAGAACAGCCAGGGCATCGAGACTCAGACCTGGGGCAACTGGCCACTCCGAAGCAGACCAGGTATGTGGACAGCTCTCCTGGGCAAGGACAAGACTTGGAACCTTAGCTGGCCACAAAGCCGCTGTATTTTTGAGGGTCTGGGATTCCTCCAAGGACAACTGAATCTCCCATCTAAACTGTACATGTGTGCAGCACACACATCCATGTGCTGCTTTTCAGGGTGATCTTACAATTTTTTACAATTACATTTATTATTTGTGTGTGTGAACACTAGCATACCATGGCCAGTGTGTGGAGGTCAGAGGGCAACTTTTGGGAATTGGGTGTCACCTTCCACCATGCAATTCCCAGGGATCAAATTCAGATCGTCAGGTTTACTCTTAAGCCTATTTCCCCGGAATCACTTCAGCTAGCTTTAATTTTTTTTCACCCCAGCTAGATCCAGTAACAAATCTTTACTTAATCCCAGCACTGGGGAGGTGAAAGCAGGGGGATCTCTGTGAGTTTGAGGTCAGTCTGGTCCACATAGTGAGTCCCAGGACGGTCAGGGCTACACAGTGAGACCCTGTCTCAAATCTATTAAGAAAACTGTTTTCATATTGAGACAAAGTCCAATGTAGCCCAGGCTGGCCTCCAATACTTCATGTAGCCCAAGGCTGGATTACAGGTATACACTGGCATAGTCAGCTCTCTCTAGGGACTGGAGCCAGATCAGACACTGCTCCATGACTAAGGATCTCACGCTGGGAAAGTCATCACCATTTCATGCCAATGTTCAAACCGATACCCGGCGAGTCCTCTGGCTGTCAAGCCTCAGGGACAGGAGACTGTGGGTGGTAGTGCTGGAGCATGCAAGCCCCTCCCCTCTGGTGCTACTAGGCTGCCTGGCCTTTTAGAGGCTTCTTCCCCTCAGCCCAGGAGTTTGGCTAGCTACAAGAGATAGAGCAGCCCCGGGAATGGTAGGTGGAGCAGCCCACCTCAAGGGCTGATGCCAGTTGTTGCTTCCAACAATGGGGAGACTTGAAGGAATTTACCCCAACAGCTGTCAGGATTGTGGAGTACAGCAAGCATGCAGGCAAAAGAGACACCATAGCCTACAAACAATAATCACCCCAAATTTTATTGCTTTACAGAACTCAGGAACACCCCAATGCAGCGCCATGGCTGTGGTTCTTCACGGGCTGCGGCCAGAAGCAGCCAAGCGCCTTGCGGATTGCTGGATAGAATCTATCTTGGCTGGCTGGGGGTGGGGGATGAGCTTCTCCAGAGGAGGGGTCTCTGTGTCCCTCCCCACAATGATTCACAGTTAACTTAATGCTACATGAGTCCAAGCCTGACCAGGAAAAGCCTGGCTAGGGCAATGGGGCTGGGATGCTCATCTTAAATCTGAAGGAGACTTGAGGCAGTCAAGCCTGTTTGGATGTGTGGATGATGGGGCAAACATCCCCTGGCCTGTTTGTGCCCATGCAGAGCCAATGCTCTGCTGGAAGGCAGCCAGAAAAGTGCTTTGAGGTCATCAGAGTGCAAAGTGCTGCTAACAGTGTCTTGTCACCATGAAGCTGGCGTGCTGTTTATTGTCTATGTGCCTTGGCGAATGGCAAGTCCTGCATCTGTGGCTTTCTTTAGCATCTGTCATTTGAAGACCATTCCTGTCAGGTCTCACGTCATCCTTCCGTTTCACAGATGAAGGACTAGGGTGCCAGCTAGCCAAAGGGCAGGCCTCAGTGAGGCTTGATGCAGGAGGAGTGGTGTCCAGCAGCCACAAACCTGAGGCCTGAGACTCATTTCTCTTTGATACCTTCTATGGTCCTTGGTTGAACAAGGAGCTCAACCTAGGACCTGGACTGCAATAACCCGAAGGTGTGGTGCATTCTACCAAGGTGCTAGCATCCTTCCTGCCTGCTCTGTCTCACACTAGTCAATGGCCAGGGAGGCCAGACAAGGGCTCGAAAGTTCCACGAGCCCCTGGGCAGGTACACCTGTGGCCTTGCCCTCTATGCGGCAGGTGGGGACCCAGATCTTCTACCTTCCTAGGTACTTGTTCTTGATCAGGCTAGAAGCTGCACCCCAACTGCTGGCAGGTGCTGACTGCTCCGTGAGGGCCTCGTTTGGAGCATCACAGAGAACACTGGCTCTCTTCCTGGGGGATGAGACCCGCCTTCCTCCTGTCTCCTCATGAGTGAAGGGTTTCTCCTGCCAGAGGCCAGCAGCACTCAGGAGGCAAATCCTGGGAGGTGCTTTACCTGCTCCCGTTGCTGCTGCAAGCCCTGGTCTCACTGCTAACCCAGGGGCTGGCAGATCTCCCTGAGCAGACTCAGCCAGCATCTCAGAGCACTGAGTACTGAGATTCAAAGGAAGCCTGCTGTGGGCAGAATGGAGCTGGTGGTAGAAGACAGGGCTATGGATGATTCTCCAGCTGGCCGTGCTTGACCCTCCAGCTCCAGGCAAAGCCGCCGTCAGGGGCCAGGGTGCACTGCAGGTCGATGCCTGAGTCTGGCACCTCCATGTCGTAGCGAACAGGCTGTCCATCTTTGGTCACCAAGCTGAAGGCTGTGGCTGGGATCTGTGGGGAGAGCAAAGCAGTGGCGGTGAGAGCCCAGCTAGAGGGTAAAACGGATGGTCCCTAGACATGCTCGGGAGGCCCGGGGAGCACTGCCTGTCCTTCACTCTGGAGGACTTGAAGAGTCCTTCCTAGCCCAAGTGTAGGCTCAGAGACCCTCAACAGCCCCCCTCAACAGCCCTGGGACCTGGAGGACAGCTAAGGTATGGGTCACTATCTTCCAGGGTGCCATTTCTATTTATTTGAAAGGCTTCCTCCTGGAGAACTCCATCCCGAAGTGTGACTTGTGTCTGTACCTGGCTGCTGATGCCAGTTGCAATGTCTCCCACCTTGACCCGGTGGAATTCTCGGATGTGCAGGTGTTCACCATTGAGAGACTGTATTTGAACTTTGACACCTGGAAGGCAAGGCTGACAGTGAGGGCAGAGCAGCGGCTGGACACCTGGACACCCAGAGAGCAGGGACCCGGGACGGGCAGGGGCAACCTCTGTGGAGTCACTCCACTTTCACAGAGTGGAGCAGTCTGGCTGGGTTGAAGCAGTAGAGAGGAAATTTAGGTTAAGGGGCCCTAATAATACACAGCTCTTCCCGGCCAGCAACTCCTGGAGTTTGGCCTGCACCTTGCTAAGAGCTGAGGTCAGCTTCCAGGGGTAAGTAATGCTCTCCTCTAGACGGACAGCAAAAAGGCACTGAAGACAAGGGCTCCTCCTCCTGACTGAGTTATTGATTTATCACCTGTCTGTCTTTTTACTCTTCATAATTCCTTCATCTAGATCGCGCCCTTTTTTATTTAGTTTTTCAAGATAGGGTTTCTCTGTGTAGCCCTGGCTGTCCTGGAAATCATTCTGTAGACCAGGCCGGCCTTGAACTCACAGAGATTCACCTGCCTCTGCCTGGGGTTAAGGCATGTGCCACCACTGCCCATCTATCTTCTTCCTCCTTTTTTTTTTTTTTTTTAAAGTTCAGTCAACTAAGGCAGATGTGATAACATGTGGCCATTTTAATGTTTTCTACAAGCCCAAATAGCATAGACTAACTTCCTCTTTTAGTATAACACATCCAGGGTGGGGGTCTGCTTAGTGGTGGAGCACTTGGCCAGTAAGCACAAAGGCCCTGGGTTCAATCCTCAGTGACAGGAAAAACAACGAGGGGTTAATGTTAATCTTCCTAAAAGTGGCATTAACTGAACCTCTCAGTAAAACCCTCTGTTTGATGAGGGTGGGTTTGTCATGTCAAAGTCCTTTTCAGTTAATATACTCCTGACTACTCCACATTTTTCTGTTAAAATGGATAAATAGTATAATGAATTGTGTGCAATTTTAGTTTCCTAGAATCCATTTTAAACCTCTAAGGAAAGTCGGAGAGATGAGTTAAAAGACCCCAATCCCTGCCGCTTCTCGGGCAGAGTGTCAAGGACGTCAGGCATCACCCTGCCCCTGAGTACCCTCCAAGCCCGTGAGTCCCTTCTGGAAACTTCGGGCACAATTAAATAATTTTTGTGTTTAATATTTTTCTTCTTTATTTGAGACAGTTTCTTTGTGTTAACAGTCCTGGCTGTCCTTCCTGGACCTCATTTTGTAGGCCAGGCTGGCCTTGAACTCACAGAGATCCACCCGCCTCTGCCTTCTGAGTGCTGGGATTAAAGGTGTGCACCACCAGGCCTGGCAAATATTTTTTAACTAACATGCCAATTCCAGAAAATTCAAGACCTAACAGAATTGTTTTTTTTTTTTAATAAAGAAGAGAGAGAAATCTAGAGTTGTAACAGACAAATTGGGCTACCCATCTTGACTCAGTGAATGTTTTATTTGAATACTGCCACCTTAAAGCTTATACTATGCCATCGCTGATGATTTTGAGCATGAGCTCCTTTGAGTCATACCATCCCAATTTTAGTCCAGACAGGAAGCGAGCTCGTCATCTTCCATTCTCCACACTCTTAAATTAGACTGTAGGCAACGTAAAGTGTCTGAGCTAAAGTGCTCTTGCCATGGCTGAGGGACCCCGAGGAGGGCTAGTGCCTGTGAACTGACAAGGTGCACCTCTAACGCAGCCTGTGAAAACGGGCATTTGTATGTCTTCTCAGGAGATGACCCCTCACTGCCGACTTCCCCATCAAATGTTCCTGGGTATACTCCTTCCTTCCCACTCAGCTTCTGGCCCTAGCCCAGGAGCAGTCATTTTCCTCCCCATACTGTCAGCCTCCTGCAGCTCTACCGGTAGCCAGAGGGGGTACAACTGTTCTCCACTCCTTGTCTGGAAAGCCTTGTGAGTGGTCGGGGCTTTGGGTCTAAACCCAACTTTC